AWKCMARMMAAAAAAAACTATAAAAAGGCCAAAAAGGACAGCCCAACTTTTGCCTTACTAAAAATGTTATAATATAAATGATAGACAAGGAAGTTTAAAGTAAATGCATATACTGTAAGACACAATATTTAACATTATTTTTAATATATTCATTTCTGCCAAAAAAACATATTTGGGAATGCACCAAATGATTTTTTTTTTAAATAACCTTTTTGTTGTATATGTATTTGATACGGTTTTTTTTCTTATTTTATAGTTTATTCTTATGAGAAATTTTCTATAGCTGCTCCTAAATACCCAGCCTGGATGCTTTGCGTAAGTGTGATTTTGTTTTGCAAGGAAGTGCTTGTTTCTGATTGGTYAGTTTATCAACAAAATTATGCTTTGAAGTTTGAGTTACATGTACCTTGATTTACATGMACTGAGTAAAGCTYATTTTCACTGAGTTTTTTGCTTCAGTGAAAGTTTGTGAAGGCTATTTTAATCMTATAGTTTTTGTGTKACATAAAATTGCAYAATACAAGCAAAGCATCCAGGGTGTTACTGRGACTTTGAATTGTACTTAACKTYCACGTAAATTATATACACCTAATTCCAAAAAGRTTGTCTTGAAATTTAGGAAATTAGGAATAGATTAAAAGGCAATTTATAACCACTAAAGCCGAAAACACTTTTTTTTGTATTTAATAATTCCTAAAGAGCAAAAGTTCTTTTTCTTGGACAACATTTTGTAAATTTAGTGTATATTGTACCATTTTATAAATTTAACTTCCAACTGAAATTTAACTATTCATACAACATTGAATGAGACATTTGCTTTCTAAGCACTTACTAGTGACTAAATAGTATAAATAGTGAAATTATAGAGCCTTTGTTTACGACATTGATGCTGATGAATATATATCAGTAGATTTATAGGATGTGCATTTCCACAATGTACACACCCATTATTTTAGCAGAGTACTGCCTATTATTCGTCATTATCATTGGCATTTATGTGAGGGCCACGTGTTAGATAACTCTATGGGATAACCGTGTCACCCTCCTTAAATAAAGTTTATTGTATTGTATTTATGGGGTGTTAGAGATTATTTTAATGCCCAGAGTGCATTTAAAAGATCAATAGCCATCTTGGCAGTACAAAAAAGTTTACAAATTAAAAAGTGGCATTAACTATTAAATAACCAGGAATTAATAWGCTTAATAGCTTGAATGCATTTATAAATGAGTTTTTTAAAACTTTTAGCATTTTATTCAATCTGATTAATGTTGTCCAGTTGTAAAGACATAAAGAAACAGCAAATTCATTGGCATATATTGTTGTATTAACTTTCTGAAAAAATATTTAAACATAAAAACTTGACTTCAATGTATAATAATAATGTTATTTTTTTTTATCAATTGAAGGTTTTCAATATTGACATACTTCCCAAGAATTGTATTTTTTTTTTTTTTTGGTTTAGTTTTTTTTTTTTTTTTTTTTTTTTTTTTTTTTTTTCATCATGCCTTTACGACTGAGCAACATTATTGTCTTATTTGCTATATTCTTGCATGTTTTACCCTGGACTACTAATATTCCAGGAATATTACATGTATGAGACTTAAATAGTGTTCAAACAAGGCTTCRAGTTCACATAAGACACATTCAAACACATGTCAAATGTGCTACCTTCGAAACTCATTCAAAACAAGGTCAAAGTCTCCATGTATTTCAACAAACAGCTCTGTAMAATGTGGTAAGAAGTACCAGCAGAATCAGAAGTCCATTGCTGTGGAAAGTATGTGCTTGGTTTTGGTTTTCTGTTGGTAAAAAATACAAGTATGTTGTCAAGTATGTTCTCAAGTTTACACAAGAAGACGGGAGGTATAGGTAAGTTGACATGCATTTCATCAGCAATAGTTTAGAATGTAGAGAGCAGAAATTGGCTGATAGCAAAAGGAGAAAGGGAGCACAATCAATTTTTTTTCCAAATTTACAAAAATATAAAATTATAAGAAAATATAGATATTATTGAAAGCTTAAAGTTTGAACGAGTCAAAAAATTTTTATTTCATGAATTTGGCTGGACACCATAAGACAGATGACATTTCTTTGTAATTTTTGCATGATTTGAAAGCCCATAACGTTGTTACAAGCTAACTATTATTTGATCATATTATAAATATTTGATGTATGGACCAGTCCCTTACAAAGTAATTTTTGATCATGCTGTTGCTGAACAAATTATTGATCAAATATCCTAGTACCGGTATTCTGTCAAAACTGCATTTCTGGACTTACTCTCAAACTTGGCAATTTCTGGCTTGTTGCAGTAGTCAGTTTGGCAGCAATGACCGCAGTAATCATGGTCTTTATGCAGTGTGCCATTGCAGCCTGTGCCTGCCCCCTCACAGGTCRTCTTTGTATTGCACTTCAATTCGACAATTAAAAGTTGTTCTGATTGGAATAATATAATATATAAATAGGTGAATAGAGTGTATTTCATGTTTTTGAGACAAAATAAGTGTAAATTATTGCAAAAGAAAATAGCTTTAACATGACATTTACAATAATACAATATTGAATATATACGATCATGGTTGTTTCAGTACCATTATTGCAAAAAGTGTATACAGTACACAAACATTGCAC